TAGGCACAGATAAGGATGAAAAAAAGGCATTTGAGTGGTATTTGAAATCTGCTGAAGGTGGCAATTCGAATGGACAAGATAACCTTGGATGGTGTTATCAAAATGGCATTGGCACAGATAAGGATGAAAAAAAGGCATTTGATAGAAGCAACAAATAATGGTTCATTATTCGATAATGGATACTTGAATGTGCAAGTAAATACTGCATTTAACGGAAGATTTGGAAGCGTTTCAATATGAATTTCCCAATTTGGATCAATACTAGGTTCAATCACTTTCTTGCCGGTTTCTACAACAATTAAATTTCGAGAATATGAATTCTCATAAAAAATTTCATGTAAATTCTCAAATTCATGTAAATTTTCAACAATTTCTGGATTTCCAACTAACATCCAGTTTATATTCATTTTTCCAGAATTATTTATCCTACAGTAAGAAATTATTAGAAAAATCAAAGTAATTTAAAAGTAAATCATAAATATATTAAAAGACATTCTTACTTTTTATCAAGAACATTTTCGACATTTACAGAAAATCCAAAAATATTTATTGCCTTAAATTTAATAATCTTTCCACTAAGTTGTTGTCCAGAAGTTGTTGTTACATTCCCATAAAGTTGATAGTTGTCACTTTTTAATTTATTCTTAAATTTAACACGATAATATATCACTGATGCATCAACTTGCACGCTATCAATCATAAGTATCTCTTGCTTAAAATCTGGTTTCTTTATCTTTCTAACCTCTTCAGGTAATTGTAAAATTTTCAATAAAGAATTGCTATGATCATGAATTTCAAGAATCATTTTGATCTGACTACGAGTTGATTCTTCAAAAATTTCATAAATTGATATTAGATCGTCATATTCGATAACATTTAATTTAGTATCATTTTGATAACAAGATTCGACCCAACTATTAACTAAAAGATTTTCATTATTAATATATGACAGCATATTTTCTAATTTTTTCGAAATTTTTCTGAAGTCGTCGATAGTTGACCATTCTATTTCGTCTTCAATGCAATCTATATCCCTTTCGACATATTTAAACAATTTTTTACCTATTACAATACTTTGGGCAAAGAAGTTTCCAAAAGCTGCAAAGACATCCAACAACTTTAAATAACTTATATAAGGATCTATTCCTTCAATGGCCTTATATATTGCACGCTTAAATTTTTCTGACGGTTTAATCGAATCTTTGTTCAGGTGTATTTTAATCCTTTGATTTACAATTGTAAAATAACCACACCTTCCATTGTTACAAAATAGGTTATCATGATTAAGTAAGGCTTGCAATCCTGACGGATAATTAATAGACGTTGGATTGATCATATTTTTTTCAAGGAAAAGTTGTTTTCTTTCGCATGCTGAAACTTTCGCCGTAAAATCGCAATAACCATTTAAAATAGAGAACTGAATTGGTTTTACAAAATCAATTGACCGGTAATTTCCAAGTATTACACCTTCATTGGTAAAGGTCAATCCATAATTCAATTGACATTTGTGAATATTTTGTTTGTAATATTCAACTTTTTCATTTTTATGGAAAAGAATATGTGGTTCACATGGAACTTGTTCGTCATAGGATAAAAAATCACAAAGTATTTCTTCATCCGTTTCGTCGGAAGAAATGGCTAATATAATAAACATTAGTTAAGCTTTCTGCGACTTCATATAAACTGATGAGTTGCCAAACTTACATGAATCATTAAGCAAAACACGAATAAAATTGTCGTCTATAAGAATTTCCGTTAACGTAATGGAATCTTCTGAATCGGAATAAATCTCATGAAGATACCCTTCCTGTAAATCTTCCCTCAGAAACTTAAAGTTCTGTGTAATTATTCGTTTCTCATTTAATTCTTTACGGATTTCAGACAAATAACTTTCAAGCTTGTTATCACATATAAATTTTTTAGCAGTTTTTCCATCGTCTATGATAATTAATAACTCTCTTTTCATCTGAATCTCACAATTTTTGATGATCACATCATATACTTTCTTATTTGTGTTGTATAATTTTTTTTTTGGGCCAAGTTTAATTATACCGACGCCATCTTCATGGTATATAAAAAAAAAATTATACTTGGAATTATTAGAATTATTATCTAAATTTTTTATAATTTGATCATAAACATCA